AGACTTTTAAGGAGGATTTTAAAGTATAAAGATTCTCTGTGGCATTATTTAATGACCACATGAGTTTTTTCAGTATCTTGTTAAAGTTATCTTCCCTTGTCCTTGTTTAATCAAGGCCCAGTCTGACCTCATGCACTATGGAAAACACATTAACTTTCCTTGACTTTGTGCTTGTGTTTGCTAGTTGTAAATGACACGACAAAGCCCGGGGACTTGGATTTCCTCCATCGTGTGCAGCTGTCAGATTCAAGCGTTTCCTGTACTCCGTTCCTCACATTCCTCCCCTGTCTTCTTTATCTTTCAGCAAACCAGTAATGTGAGCGCCACACTCGTCCTGTCACGGCCAATCAAGGGGCCCAGGGAGTTGGTGCTGGACTTGGAGATGGTCACAGTCAACAATGTCATCAACTTCAGAGGCAGCTCCATTATACGTCTGACGATATTTGTCTCAGAGCACCCGTTCTGAGAGTCCCAAATGAACTTCAGCATATCCCCAAAGAATCAAGCTGCAGTGGTTTGTTTGAGACAGCTCGTCACCTTTTTTTGTTTGTTTTTTAAAAGTCATTACGTCATCCTCAATAAAGACACGTCCGATAAAGACTCAGTCAAGATCAGCTGATGGGAAAGCATCCCTGTGCTTGAATCCCCACCCTGGTTTAATGGACACTGAGCTTTTATGGCTGCGATATGGACTTTCGACACAGAGGGATATTTATGGTGTACAATTTCTGACATCCTCTATTTAGAAAATGACCCGAAAATGATGGGAATTACCCTCGCTGAATACCAGTGTATACACAATACAGTTTTTTTCATGAGCTCCCCCCAGTTGTCTGTGAATTTTCATCCCCTCAGATAAGCTGTGAAAGTGACATTTATATGCTTTCATTCAAGAGCTGTCATTGCATCATGATCAGATCATTGTGTGTTTCTTTACGCGACGGGAGGAGAGCCAGATATCTGAGCAGAAGTGTAATTGTACATTTGCAGTGGCAATATTTGAAATGATGTAACAACCAGTCATCAACTGAATTATTGATCACAGTTTCTTTTAGACCAATAAATGTCTTCACCACACAACTGTCCCTGGCATGAGCCGCCTACTGAACTCCAAAAATTATAAACTGCAACTTATTTTGGGATTATTAATCACAAATGTAAGTAACACTAATTGGGGGATTATATAAAGTTAAGATAAGTAGGAAAACTAAAAAAAAAAACAGGTTTTTGGCACTCAGATCTGGGAATAGATTATACAAAATTGGGAAAAACAGAAAAAATAAATATGTTGTAATTATATCAGAACATGTCTTAGCACTGTACCAGTTTTGGGGGGTGTACTAATACAAAATTTGGGATTATATAAAATTGGGGGATTTGTATGCACAATAACAAAAATAAATCTCTTCACTACACAACTGTCTCTGGCATGAGCAGACCTCTGAACTCCTGAACTACAGTAAATTTGGAATTATATGAGTTAACAAATTTTGGGGGGCTATACCAAATTAAGGCAATCATTGTGGGACCATAATGATTAAAACATTTTGGGGGGAATTTGTCGCACAATAAATGTCTTCCCCACAAAACTGTCCTGAGCTCATAAAACTACAGCAAATTTTGGATTTCAATGTTACAAAACAAAACAAACAACAACAAAAAAACATGTTTTTGGGGTCATAGAATTACAATAAAATTTGGGATAATGTTAATAAGCAAATTTTAGGGCAATACACTAAAGTTGGCAGGTTTGTGTGCACAGTAACAACAATAAACATCTTCATGACACCGCTGTCCCTGGCATGAACCAGCTCCTGAACTCCCACAACTACATCTGTTTTGGGGATTATAATGTCATATACTGAGGACTATCACAAATGATGTGATTATTAATAACAAATGTTGGGGGGCACAAATTTGGGGATTATTCAAAATTGGGATAAACAGAAAAATATTGTAGTTATATCAGAACACGTTTCAGCACTACACTAAATTTGGGGGGTTGTACTAATACAAAATTTGGGATTATATGAATTTAGTAAATTTTTTGATCACTGCACCAAAGTTTGGGGATTTGTACACACAATAACAACAATAAATCTCTTTACTAATCAACTGTCTCTGGCATGAGCAGACTTCCGAACTCCTGAACTATGGCAAATTTGGAATTATATGACTCCACACATTTTGGGAGGCTATACCAAATTAAGGCAACTCAAAACATTGTGGCACCATAATAATTAATAAACTTTTTTGGGGATTTTGGTGCACAATATTTGTCTTCCCTACAAAACTGTCCTGAACTCATAAAGCTACAGCAAATTTGGGGATTGTAATGACGTATTTTGAGGACTTTCACAAATTGATAATTAATAATTAATTAATATTGGGGGCACAAATTTGGGTAATATATATAAAAATGACATAAACAGAAAAAATAGAAAATGTTGTAATACATCATAACATGTTTTCGCACTATACCAATTTTGGGGGTACACTAAAACAACATTTGGGATTGTATGAATTAGCATATTTTGAGGTCACTACTCCAAAGTTGGGGGATTTGTACACACAATAACAATAAATCGCTTCACTACAAAACTGTCTCTGGCATGAGCAGACTCCTGAACTACAGCAAAGTTGGGGGGGGGATTTTGGAACACAATAACAAAATTTTACAAATTTTGGGGGCTATACCCATTTAAGACAATTCAAAACATTGTGGGGTTTAACAAACTTTGAGGGATCCTGGCGCACAATATATGTCCTGAACTCATAAAACTGCAGCAAATTTGGGGATTGCGATGTTAAATTTTGGGGGGGGTAAAACACATGGTGGGATTACATCTATTAACAATAACAATAACATTTTGAGGGCAATTATAGGAAATTGTAGGATCAAATTAAATAATATATTTTGGGGTATTATGAGCACATTTTGGAACACCATAACAAAATTTGGAATCATACCAGTTAACAACTAACAATATATGTCTTCCCCACACAATTTCAGGATTATAATGTCCAATCTTGGGGGAATATAACAAATAGTTGGATTATATCTATTAACAATGACATTTTGGAGGGGATTATACAATTTTGGGGGGGAGGGGTTCCACATTTAGGCAAACTCAAAATGTTGGCACCTAATGATTCACAAACGTTTGGGGGAAAAATGCCAAATTTGGGGGCTTTGGGCGCTCAATATATGTCTGTCTGTCTACAGCAAATTTGGGGATTACGATGCCTTTTTTTGTTGTTGTTGTTTGCGGGGATTACTTTTTTGGGGAGATTACAACAAACTGTAGGGTCAAATTTTAGGATTATATGAGCACATTTTGGAACACTATAACTAAGTTTGGAATTATACCAGTTAGCAAATTTTGGGGGGCTATACCAAAATTAGGCAGGCTCAAAACATTGTGGGACCAAAACGATGAACAAACTTTGGGGGTAAAACAGCGATTTTGGACGCACAACATATGCCTTACCCACACGACTGTCCTGACCTCATGAAACAACAACACATTTGGCAATTATAACGTCACATTTGGGGGGATTATATCAACTAGTAGTATTATATCCACTAACAATTACATTTTGGGAACAATATTAAATTAGGGGAGGTTGTGACACTGTAACACATTCTGGGGCAACATTAGGACATTTTGGAGCACTATGGCAATGGGAGATTACTAAAACCTTTTGGGATTATATCAATTAGCAGATCTGGGGACAGTATACCTAATTTGTGGGATTTAAGTGCAAAATAACATAATAATTGTCTTTACTACACAACTGTCCCTGGCTTTGGCAGACATCTGGACTCCTGAAACTAGAGCAGATTTTCTGATCATGTAATATTTTGGGGGAATACACAACTCCGGGGACAACACACAGAATTTGGGGGATTTAGGTGCACAATATATGTCTTTCCCAAACAACTGTCCTGAATTTACTAAACTACAGCAAATTTTGGGATTATAATGTAAAATTTGGGGGGAATATAACACATGGTGGGACTGTATTCTTTGACAATAACATTTGTGGGGATTCTAAAAAATGTGGGATATAATCAAATAAATTTTGGGATAATATGAGCACATTTTGGAACACTATAACAAAATTTTGAATTATGCCAGTTAGAAAATTTTCAGGTGGATAACCTACATTTAGGCAAACTCAAACATTGTCGGACCATAACAACTGAAAAACTTTGGGGGCAAAACATCAAATTGGGTGTACAGTATGGTTTCCTCACACAACTGTCCTGGACTCATGAAACTACAGCAAATTTGTGGATTATAATGCTACATTTTGAAGGGACTGCAACATTTTATGGGATTATATCCATTAAAAATGACATTTCGGGAACACTCTACCAAATTTTGTGGATTTTGGGACAAATTCTGGGGTTTAATTAGAACATTTTGGAGCACTATACCGTTTTTTTTGGCAAATTTAGGATTGCATCAATTAACAAACAATGCGGAATCTATGCCAAATTAGGTTTTTTTTGGCAAGTTCTAAAAATGTTAAACTATTAAACACTGGGCGTGTAAAAGCACATTTTGGGGATTTGAACAATAACAACAATAACTCTTCACAGCTGTCCCTGGCATGAGCAGGTTCCTGAAGTCAGAAATGCTTTTGATCATTTACTCGCCTTTTTCATTTTCACATCATTTCTCACACTGTACATGAGTCTGGTCAGTAAATATACTGGACCTAGATGGTTTCAGGTTTCTACCTGTGAGATGTGACAATGTTGAGAAATGGACTGAGGAAGAGAGAAATAAACTGACAGTAAACACACCGTGAGGGTAAACAAAAAATCAGAGCAGAAAGTGGTGCTGTCATGGCTGTTCGAGGAAGCAAACACACAGTGATAGTCCGGGAATTACAGAGCCGGGGAGAGAGAGAGGGAAGGAGAGGAAAGGGAGGGAGGGAGGAGGAAGAGAGACCTGTAACTGGAGTGCACCATAAACCTGAGCTTAGTGGCATTTCCCTCCAGTCGGCCTGTGAGAGTGAACACCACTGTCGCATGTGTAAACTTTATTCTCTGTGAATGAAAACATCATAAGGGTAAGTTTACATTTTTGCTGGTTTTGTCTTTTGATATATTACTTCATTAACTGCTATTTTATGCCTGTAACAAGGTTACATTGACGCAAATTCCTTCATACCTTCGCAGCACAATGCAGTGTTTGTTGACTGTAGCTGGTTGTGGGAAAATGAAATGATTTAAAGTCTTTTCACCTTTAGTTTGCAGCTAATTGAAAATATGCTCCTCTGTTCATTTGTGTCATAATTTACTTTTTAAAAGACATTTTAGAGCAGTGCACTGTACCAAATTGTTATTTTATGAGAACAATAACACATTTTAAGATTATTATTATTATTAGGGGGGTGATTTTGAATATTAGGGGTGCTCTCCCAAATTTGGGATATATTGAGCAAATTTTGTAGGCTCTATACCAAATTTGGAGGATTTGGGGGGAACTAAAACAATTAGGGGACTGATTTCAAATGTAAGGGGTGCTCTCCCAAATTTGGGACATATTGAACAAATTTTGTAGGCTCTATACCAAATTTGGGGAATTTTGTGGGGGAATTAAAACAATTAAGGGAGTGATTTAAAATGTCAGGGGTGCTCATACAAATTTTGGTTATATCAAACAATTTTTGTGGCCTCTCACCAAATTTGGGCAGTTTTGGGGGTGGGAACTAAAACAGTTAGGGGGTTAATTTAAAATGTCAGGGGTGCTCTCCCAAATTTGGGGTATATTGAACAAATTTTGTGGGCTTTACACCAAATTTTAGGGATTTGGGGGGAACTGAAACAATTTGGGTTATTCTATAAAATTTGGAGGGTGCTCTCCCAAATTTGGGATTTATTGAATTTTCTGGAGTCTGTACCAAATTTGGGGGATTTGGGGGGGGAATTTAAACAGTTTGGGGAATTTGGGAATTTTGGGAATTTTGGGGGTCCTCGGGGCATCAGTGGCTTAGTGGATAAAGCGGGCGGCCCATATACAAGGCTGTTACTGCAGCGGCCTGGGTTCGACTCCAGCCTGTGGCCCTTTGCTGCATGTCACTCCCCATCAAATTACAAATTTGGGGAATTCTGAGATAATGACAATAATATTTTTTTTTATCAAATGTTTATACAATTACAGATTTTTGGGGTGCAGTCCAAACTTTCCCTGAGAAACTGGATTATATTTTAGGATCAGGGCAGCACATTAATTCTATGCCACATTCAATGATTGGGCTGCGCTACAACAAAAATTGGGCTTATGTCAAATCATTTGACAAACGTTGGTGATTTGGAGGTAATATAACAAGGTTTGGGATTACAAAAAGGCAACACACACACACACTGCACTATACCAAATAGTGAATTTAATTTAATTTTCTTGGGGGCACCATAACAACATAACATTAGTGTGTGGAGTGTTATCACCTCCTGATTAGATCCCCTGAAATGTTTGTTCCGACTCTGCTGCTAATTGTGTTTACTGTGTAAACTAACCTCCACTTACTCCTTTATCATTTGAATATTTCCAGTCGCAGCCATGGAGTGCCTCAAAGACTGCTGCAAGAACTTCATGAAGAAGAAGGGGAGGGAGCAAGAGACCCAAGGTAAATTCACGCCCTGCACTGCTGCATATCCGACAGTGTTTTGTTTCTGATTGCGTGATTTCCTCTGCTTTCAAGTGATCGCTCTGAAGATGCCTCCTAACAAGGCAGCAGCATCAGGGTGGGAGCCGGAAGGGAGGAGGGGGGTCACAGAAGATTACCTCCTGTCCAAGCTGCCACCGGATGGCAGAGAGGTGCCGTTTGTCCTGCCGACATTCAAGGCATCCTACGTCCAACCCAGAGGCTCCCGCTACCCCAATTTACAGTCTGGGCCGCAGAGTACGTACCTACTGAAAAATAACATCAGCTGGCTGCACTCCTTTTGATGTTTTCATGTCTTAAAGGATTAAACTAATTAACACCATCTCACCATCATATACAAATGAACTGTGATGAGCTTTAATGTAGAAACCTGTCTTAGATGTTTGTGTTGACTTAAAGGTTGGGTAGGTAAATAATGCCAGTCCCATCATCACAGTACTTTCGACCACATTGAATACACAACATGCAACTCATGTGGATTTTATTTTCCAGCCATGATATTGACCATTCTGTTCCTTTACTGCTTCACAAAGCTTGTTGTGGCTTCCAGGAGAGGTTGTATTTTGAGGGTGTGGACGTCAGTCAGTCAGACCAGCTTTGGGCCAACGTTCAAATTAAGAACCAGACAAGATCTTGGCCAATCAAATGGCTGAAAATGGCTGTTGTTGTTATATGTTTTGTTGCTGTTGCTCTAAAGTTTCAAGACAACTCCAGTCCACCAGGAAGTGCACCAGGCTTTGAAGCCAATTTTCATAGGGGCCAAACAATGGAACTATATCCTTCACATGATGCCATGTGGCCCAAAAAGATTTTTCCCCATGGCGGAAGAGACATCTGTAAATCAGAGGATGTGTCACAACCCCAGCAAAATGACTTATCAGAGTTTGATCCATTTGGCCTGATAACATTATGAAAGTCTTGAAAGCTGCATGATTGAGTAATTTTTATCCCCATTCAAGTTAAACAGGAAGTAGCCTTCTTGGCCTTTGGAAGTCTCTAGATTTCTCCAGATGTCTGTCAGCTTGACGAGACAGAGGTCTGATTGTGCAAAATTACATTTGTGCTATATGTTTTCCCTTCAACAGCGCCCCCATCAGGCCATTCATTAACTGTATGTGTGTATAAAGTTCCCTACTAATGCACGGAATTGGAATTTTGGCTTTTCAGAATTTGAAACTAAGACATTCACCGGCCACTTTTTTAGGTACACCTTGCTAGTACCTGGTTGGACCCCTTTTGCCTTCAGAACTGCCTTAATTCTTGCTGGCACAGATTCGACAAGGTGCTGGAAAAATTCCTCCGAGATTTTGGTCCATATTGACATGATGACATCACACATTTGCTGCAGATTTGTGGGCTGCACATCCATGATGAGAATCTCCCGTTCCAGCACATCCCAAAGGTGCTCTATTGGACTGAGATCTGGTGACTGTGGAGGCCATTGGAGTACAGTGAACTCATTGTCATGTTCAAGAAACCAGTTGGAGATGATCTGAGCTTTGTGACATGGTGCGTTATCCTGCTGGAAGTAGGAAGATGGTCAGAAGATGGTCTTCTGCTGCTGTAGCCCATCTGCTTCAAGGTTTGACGTGTTGTTGGTTCAGAGATGGTCTTCTGCAGACCTTGGTTGGAACCAGTGGTTATTTGAGTTACTGTTGCCTTTCTATTATCTCGAACCAGTCTGGCCATTCTCCTCTGACCTCTGGAATCAACAAGGCATTTTGGCTCACTGGATATTTTCTCTTTTCGGGACCATCCTCTGTAAACCCTAGAGATGGTTGTTTGCGAAAATCCCAGTAGATCAGTGGTTTCTGAAATACTCAGACCAGCCTGTCTGAAACCAACAGCCATGCCATGTTCAAAGTCACTAAAATCACCTTTGTTCCCCATTCTGATGCTCAGTTTGAACTTCAGCAGGTTGTCTTGACCATGTCTACATGTCTAAATGCATTGAGCTGCTGCCACGTGATTGCTGATTAGCTTTTTGTGTTAACAAGCAGTTGAACAGGTGTACTTAATTAAAGTGGCCATAGAGTGTAAAAGATCAGTGAGTATCCACCAAGCCTCTGTCTTTCTGCTTCAACATTAATAAAGGTTCGGGTGATTGACACATTTTACTCCGCCCGTTCCACAGAGCCAGCTGCCATGATGCCTCATGCATCTAAGTTTCATTAAAATCAGCTCAGAGGTCACTGAGGTATGTCCCAACGTTTGATTACACAACCACCAGGATATCCTGTTCCTAAATGAATAGCTGCAGTCTTTTAAGTTCACTGGCTGAAAAGAATAATTTGGTCAAATGGAGGCATGCTGACCTCCAGCCCTGCTCTCCGTCTGCAGGTTCAGCCCGGTGCACGTATGCAGAGAGGAAGGCAGAGCTGCTGGGGTCCAGTCAAATGTCCTACAGCCCAGAGTCCAGCTTCCATCAGGTCCAGCTGGCTGAGTACTTTTCCCCTGGATCGACCCGCCGTGACACACTGAAGAACAAAGTCTCCAGTCCCCAGAGTCCAGGTAGCAGACACAGCAGTACATCAAAAACTAATGAGTCAAAATTACTTTTAAAATACAAAAAAAATGAGCAGAATTTTACATTGTTTAGTTGTGCAATAATGTATCATATTTAGAGAAAAATATGATTAAAATAGTGACATATATTTATGATTTTGATAAAAATGGGTTACAGGAGAAAATTTGTGATTGTACGCCAATCAAAAATCAATCATTTTTATATTTATATCTCACAATGATGGACTCTTTTGTACTGCTAAATATGAAATCAGTAAGTTTGTGTCTTAATATTTACACTGATATAAATATTACAGGCACAGTGTACAAATTCATAATTATATAAAACCTACTGCATTTAACAGTCCCAATTTACAGTTTGTCTGCAGTTGTAGAAGGACTAGTGTCATAAATTTAGGGGTAAGAAATCGCATGTATCCCTGAATTAATAGCACATACCTACAGAGTGAAACATGAATCCGAGAACTTAATTAAACCAACTTGATTAATACTAATATAAATTGGTGTTTGGCTTTCAGGTTGGTCTCTGAAACCGGGTGTCGAGCAGCGACTGAGCAGCTCCATGTTTGATCTGTCCAGCCCTCAGCTTCACATGCAGGTGAGACTGCTCTCTATCTAATCTGTATTCACACAGCGTTTCTCACCCTGTGTCCACCCAGACTAAATATAGTTTAGAGTTTCCACTGTGCTCAGCAGCAAAGTGGAACACTGACGGGCCTCACACGCATTTTGATTCAAGTGGCAAAGTTGAGTGTTTTATACCGTAGAGTTGAAGAAGAAGCTAATCTTAAAGTATTTAGCACCCTTAAAGCTCAACAATAAACAGGCTCTTGGCTCTTTGACTATTTAACTGTGTATTTTATTGACGTATTCAGCCACACACCTTCTTTATGTCCAATTTGGGACTCCATACGATGTCCATAGGTCTCTAAAACAACAAAGAAAGTGAAAACACCCTTAAAGATCCTCTTTTGTTACAGAAAGTAAATGATGGGTGTAGGCTCGTGAGTCACTCTGAAATGGATCTGAAAGTGTTTTGAAATTTAAGAGTGATTAAAAAGTCAATAGAGATTAATTTCAGCCTCAGCACTTATTCTTCCAGCAGTCCCTGAACATACCTCTGTTTGCTGCGTGTGATTCAGCTGTTGCTTGTCTTGGATTAAGTGTTATTTAATCAGAAATACAATGAGAAAAAAACAATGAGTGAGTTGGGGCGTATTCTTTGTTGCATAAAAGGATGTGGTGTAGTGCGCCTGTCAATAGCTCCCGATTACCTGCTGAGGCTGTGTTACAAATCAATCTAACGCCTCGCCCAACTCCTTGGTAAATATTACTATGTCTCACTCAGAGCTCACACTGTGAAAAACGTCAGAGCAACGTTAGAGCAACACACTCGTTGTTTTGCTTATTATGAACCAACACGGATACATTTCTATTAACCTTTCACTTGTGTCGATGTCATTATTATCGGGAGCAACATGCAGTGTGTGTACAATAACAGTTCAATTAGCCCCAGTGTTTAGCTTGGCAACATTATGAGCAAACAGTAGTAAGTAATGAAAACATGAAAGACTCAGCTCCTTGGCAATACAGCTACAGTACACAAATAAACATGGTCCCTAGAAATTAGATGTGAAATGAAAGTGCGGGTAAAGAAATGAGAACCAGTGAGAGACGGTGTTTTAAAGTTGTGGTAGATCTATGGAGGAAAAAAAAAAAGGATGTTGTGTTTTTGTGATGGTGTGAAGTAATTTTTACAGATTGCAATATCACTTGGTCCTCCACTGTTCACACAGAAATATCTCAACAACGACTGAATGGATTGGCGTGAAATTTCCGTAAAACATTCATGGTCCCCAGAGGACTAATCGTAATGACTTTGGTGACCTGCTGACTTTTCCTCTGGTATCATGAGGAGGTTGACATGCGGTTTTGAGTGAAATGTCTTGATAACTATTGAATGGACTAGCATGAAACAAATATTCATGATCCCCAGAGGAGAAACTGTAATGACTTAAGTGACTTGCTTATGTTTCCTCTGGCAACACAAGGAGGTTGGCATTTGTGGTTTTGTGTGAAATGTATTCATGTCTACTACATGGTATCAATACTGGCAAGACTGGCATGAAACAGATATTCATGGTCCTCGGATAATGAAATGTAAAAACTGTGATCCCCTAACGTAGAAATTTCAATTAATACCCGAAAAACTGGTGACATTCTCATCACCTTCACCTCCTCTGGTGAGAAAGAAGTTGAGATGAATCCTAATGACTTTGGTGATTCACCAACTTTTCCTTTGGCTCCACAATGAGGTTGACATTTGGTTTTGCGTGAGATGTTTGGTTACTGTTGGATAGATTGCACTCAAATTATGAAAAAGTATTCATGGTTCCCACAGGATAAATTGCAGTGACTTTGGTGATTCGCTGACTTTTCCTTTGGTGCCATAAGGAGGTTGACATCTATGGTTTTGAGTGAGATGTTTGGCAACTATTGTGAAGATTGCACTTAAATTTTGTGAAGACATTCATGCTCCCCAGAGGACAATTTTTAATGACTTTGGTGATCTGCTGACTCTTCCTCTGGTATCACAAGGATGTTGACATTTGTGGTTTTGAGTGAAATGTCTTGACGACTATTGGATGGACTAGCATGAAACAGAAATTTATGGTCCCCAGATGATGAATTGTAGTAAATGTGATCCCCTGACCATGTCAGAATTTTAATTAATAGCCTCAAAAAATGGATGACATTCTCCTCACCCTCACCTGTACTTTGTGTTTAGTGGGAATTAGCAAGTGTTGGAAAGTTACATGAAGACAGTGAACATGAAAATGTGGTGAAGATATTCATGGTCCCAAGAGGATGAATCATAATGATTTGATCCACTGACTTTTCATCTAGCGCCACGAGGAGGTTGACATTAGTGGTTTTGAGTGAGATGTCAACAAATATTGGTAAACTTGTAAAAAAAAAAAAAAAAGTTTTGTGAAGACATTCATGCTCTCCAAAGGGTGAATCCAAATGACTTTCTTGACCTGCTGGCTTTTCCTTTTTTTGCCACAAAGAGGTTAAGATTTATGGTTTTGAGTAAAATGTCTCAGCAACCATTGGATAGATTGTTATGAAATTTTGTGAAGACATTCATGGTTTCCAGAGATGAATCCTGATGACTTTGGGGATCCGCTGACTTTTCCTTTGGCGTAACAAGAAGGTTGACTTCTGTGGTTTTGAGTGAGATGTTTTGCAACTATTGGTAAGATTGCAGTTAAATTCTGTAAATATATGCATGGTCCCCAGAGGATAAATTGAGATGACTTTGGTAATCCGCTAAATTTTCCTCTAGTGGTACAAGTAGTTCTAGTTGTGGTTGTCGTTCTAAGTAAAATGTTTTGACAATATCTGGCATGAAACAAATATTCATGGTCCCCAGAGGATGAATTGTTTTAACTTTGATACCCTGATCATGTCAAAATTCCAATTACTACCTGAAAAACCAAATGATATTCTCATCACTTTCATCTGCTCTTTTTTGAAGTGCAAATTAGCAATTGTTAGCATTAGCACTAGCATTAAGCACCAAGCACCGCTGCACCTTAGTACACCCTAGTCTTGAGAAAATGACTAATTTTGGGTTTCAGTGGGGGGAAAAAAGTGAACCTGTCATCTCCTGACTATCTCTTTGTGTGTTTGGTTTTACCTGCAGCGCTTTGATTCCGTCTCCAGCGTCCTCAGCAGTACGTCCTCCAGGATTGGCTCCATTGAAAGCAGCCTGGGTAACTTAAATACCAATTAGTCTCCGTCTACAAACACTTTTCCTTTCAAACTTGCTGTTAAATCTGATTAAGATCGCTCTGCATTGTGCAGCCATGAAAGGGCAGACACAGTAATCTCTTGCAAATGTTTTCACTCAGTTCCACCATTGAGCTTCAAAGATAAGCCTTCATACGTAAAGACTGTATTATTCTATGAGGAGACGCAGCTTTGCTATAATAAGAGATAAATAATATGTGTGACGATAGTCTTTTTTTTTTCTTGCAATTGTTTTTGGCTTTCACCTGCAACCTCTGTTAGAAAACTCAGCCAGTCTTGCACTGCCATGGCAACTTTCCACTTTTATTACTTTTATATACAATGCAATGCTTGAGCAGCTCTGCAGGCTCTTTAAAAAGAGGTTTGATGAAACAGACAAAAAAGATGATAACAAGGGCAGAAAAGTGATCATTGTCCAAAATAAGTATTGCATATCAAGATCTTGTTGAAATTTAAACCCCTCCAAAGTTAAAGTTAGATGAATAATTTTGCATTTATAATAAATGAGAAAACCCAGACGGCTGAAATCTTATGAGATTATTGATTCAGTTTGGCACAAAGGCGTAAAAACTTCCATCTATATCAGCTTTTAAATTCATCAGCAACTTAATATAGTCACACTTCAATATTGCATTCATTAACCTCCAGTAATTTGTTCCTGTTGTGCTGCTGGTGTTACAGACTCCATCACTCTGTCTGGGGACGAGCGTGAGCTGGGGAAAGTGTGCGTCCGACTGAGCTACCAGGAGGCTCTGGAGCAGGTGTGGATCACTGTGGTTCAGGTAAGGTTACATGCTGTGAGGAGACACAAAAAGCTCCATTGTGCTCGTCTGCTGCGTTTCTCAATGGACCCTCTGTGAGTCCAGAACACAGGTCTCTGTTAGATCCTCTCAGCACTCTCTTAACTTTGGCTCTGACACTCTGGAGGAAAAGGTTGGTTTTTAAGAAACAGAAGTGTCCTCATTGATGCTGAAACACAGTGAGCCATGTATCTGTGCATTCACGCAAATGGCAAAACCTAGTGTGTGTGTGCAATTTAATTCTTTGTTTACACTTTAAAGGCTTTAACGCAGAGACATGCTCTGATTCCTCAAGGAAGAGGGGGGAAATGAAAAAAGGGCGCACCTCATTACCACTCAAGATTAGGTTTCGTTTTTGGTTAAGGTTCATTTTTTTCCCAAGGTCACATTAGTGCAGCAGTTAAACTATCCACTGAGACATTTGGATGAACAAGTGGCGCATTAGGGTTACACAAATGCCCTTATTGTGTGAGATTATGTCAAAAATAAAGCATAAATGAAGCATATTCTGCTTTGATTAAGTTTTTTAAAGAGAGGCTTGATATATCAGAGGTTTTGGATTCTTATGTTTTTGTATTCATGTCCTTTTTTACTTAGTGGAGCTGTTTGTCCCAAACCTGTTTGCTTAAGAGCACTGCAGCCTGTAAATAGATTTGACCTGCCTCGAATAAAACGTTCTTTTCCCCTTTTGTTATCAGTGTTCAGACCTCAACGTTGTTCCGGAAGGAGTGGAACAACAAAAGATTGGATTTAAAGGGATCATCACCATTCCCAAACCGATACAGTTCAAGAGCTCAGTCAAGGAGTACCGTCAGGTAATGCTCAGGACCGCTGCCTAAACCTGATGACGTTTTGTAGCAAGACTTTGACACATGCTGTACAATCCTCAAAGCCACTAATTTCCTTTCTCAGATTGTTTTGAATTTAACTTTGTCTTTGCAGAGTTGTGCAGGTAGATCTAGCATTTCTGAATGAGTTGTTGAGAAATCACCTGATACTTATTGTCGGCTCCTTCTGCTCCTTCTGCTCTTTAGGATATGCCCTTCATGGAGACCTTCGTGTTTGCGCTGCGTCTCCAGCAGTTGCGCTGCAGTGCTTTGGTGCTGCGGCTGCAGACACACATCCCCAAGAAGCGTACGGTGGCAGAGTGCGTCCTCTCGCTAAGAGAGCTTGGTCCTCAGGAGACAGACCACTGGCTCGAGCTCAGCCCTCCGTCCAAATCATCTGTGAGTGTTCACTTCACATGCCACAAATCACTCCTGATGCACTAAAGCCTGTTTCCGTTACCATCACAATGTCTGTCCCTGGTGTTTCAGATAGTGGCACAGTTTAAGAACATTTACAAGATTACCAGGAATCAAAAAGTTATTACAACATGATTTCATCCCTACTCGTCATATTTTGCCACTTGGGCAGATATCCCAGTGTTACTGCAATGACGCCAGGGGCAGCCTTTTGTGCCGTACCTTGATGCAGAAGGGGTTGGAGGTAAGAAGGGGTCACCAGTTAAGTTTAGGAAACAAAACTACTTTGTTATGGTTAAGAAAAGACTGTGGTTGTTGTGATCAAACATTCGGCTTTGGTGACACAAACATGGCTGGAAAAGCAGCCTTATGTCAGCTTTGAGAGATTTGCAAACACAGTACCCAGTATTTATTGTCTGTTGGTCTCTAACACTCCTGGATCAAAGTCCTGTGCTTGTTTGACTCATCCATCTCCCATAAGCCAAGGTCTTGAGGTCTTTATACTATATCTGTTGATCTGAGCTTCTAACAATGATGCATAGGTTTAAGAAGAGGTCCTTTATTGTTAATGTGCCAGTACAATGCAGTTTTCAAAAGCTACAACTGTACACAGTGCAAGTTAAAAAGTACAAACAAGGGACAACTCAGAAAAAATACCATAATCACATGACCAATAAATAAAAATAAAATAAATAATAATCATCATAAACATTAATGTCTGTACCAAATATCATGACTATCCTTTCAATAGCTGTTGAAATATTTCATCAAAATCCCCTAATGTCAACCTTCATGGTGGCACTAGGGGAAAAGTAAGGGGATCCCAGAGTGAGCAGGGTTATCTGTTGGTGTCTTACCTGCTGTCCAGCTGTTGTGGCCAAGAGGAAAAACTTTCAGTGTGGGAATATCCCAAATTTTTATTACCTATTCTCCACCATTTCCTTTGTTGGCTGCTGTCTTTATCACCCCTTTGTATGTGCGCAGTAAATAAGAACAAAGCGCCGTGTGTGTCTCATAAAACTGTCCCCATGATGCATTGTAGCCCGCTGGCATGTACTGTGCTCTTGGCCCTAACAGGGTAAGGCTGACGCTGAGGAAGACTTTATGCTGTTGCATAATGGCAAGAAAAGAGAAAGGGGATTCATTATTGAGGGAAATTGGGAAACAGGCTTTTATTGGAGACAAGAAACCAGAGTGCTGGTTCTGGAAATGTACGGCATGAAAAGTAGGTCAAACCTCAAACCATTTCAACAGCAGAGTGGTTTTGTTGATAAATGGATGCATGTCTGGCTGGTGACAGTAAAATGTGAACTGTTTCTGCACTTAGCGGTTCTGACGGTGAATCATCATTAGGTTCTCAGAGGGTCCATTTGATTCAGTGAGTGATTTTACCCATCTGGTGGACACAAAAGGCACAAATTGTCCAAATCACTGTCACTCATTGAGGCTCTTAATGGTCAAGACAGCTGAACTCGTAAAAGTTCAAGAAATGTATCAGCGGAGCAGCTGGATGTCTAAGATGAATCAAGACTAAGATCTTCAGCCACTAGCAACTCTGTGAAGCTGCATCTACTCACAGTGGAGCTTTGAGCTAAATGCTAATTTCAGTATGCTCACAGTGACATTGCTGACAAGCAGATGTTTAGCAAATATATTGTTTAACATGCTCATTTTTTAGTTTAATGCACAAGCTTGCCAACATTTAGCACTAAACACAAATTAGAGTCAAGGCTGACGGGAACGACATCAGTTTGTCAGGTATTTGTTCACCAGATGGTAGTGCTGGAGAAAAAGTTAGTCGATCATCAAAGCTATCACAATTCAGTCTGGGGGGGGAAATGAATATCTCATCCAAATTTATGGTAGGCTAATCCATCCAATATTTGTTGAGCTAGTTCCCTGAGAGCCACAGTGTGAACTACATGGAGGTTCTAGAGGAAAGTAAAGGGGTCACCAAAGTGTTCAGTCATCCTCAGGCAACCATGAGCAAATTCCATAATGCTGCTGTGCATAGCTATAAACAATATTAGAGGGATTGTTGAGGGATGTTCTGTATAATGTCTATAAATGCTACACAAAAAACAATCGACCCTTTGCTAAGACCTACCCCTCGAAAGCAGACTGGCAAATCATAGCGTAGCATCGGCTAGCTCCAGCAAAGGTCCAATAACTGAATGACTCTAATGCAGTTGTTTCACATTTCCACCATTTTCAGGCAGGTTTTGTGGATTTGGAGCTAAGTGTTGTTCCTCGGACACATTAATGATACCTGATACCTCGTTACCTGGAGAGGTTGGAAAAAGATATACTTTTCTTCTCTGTTCCAAAACCAAAATCAAACCCTGAAAAGTGTAGGGTTAGCTAGCTAGCTACGGAAGATATAGCCTACTGAATGTATACACATGCTGCTTTTGCTTTTTAATGATTATAACACTGAAACAAAGACCGACCCTGCTGTACAGGAACCAGTGAAGGGAAGCAGGGAAACTTTGCTGATATTCAACCAGCTGTGTGTCATCACAGTGTGCGTAGATGAACGTTAGTTGGCTTCCCTTGGAGCTTCCAGCCAAACAAACACCGTTCTTCTGCACACACTGCGATGCCACACAGCTAGTTCAATACACTTAGTGTCGACATATGTTCATATTTTGTCTTACAGTTTCCTTGTATAATCAGCTGATGTTTAGGGTCTGAGATAAGATCACAAAAACAAGCCCATTATTCATTACTAAGTAACTAGATACTGTTGGTTACCTTTGGCAGCCTACTGTTCTTTATAATCCTGTGAAATGTTTTTAAAGATGTTGCAAACCCAGCAGTACAACAAGTTTTTGTTATTTTCCTACACAAAAATTCAAAGATTGTTGGCTGTATTCCTGATTATTTATATACGATTGAATATTTATCTTTCAGGTGTGCCACTCTGAGCTGCATCTCACCACCTGCTTTCAGCCAGTCAACGGACGCATCCAGCTCCAGGTCCTCGCCGCCCAAAACCTCCCACCATCCTCTTCACCACTCACACAAGGTACTATAGATTTTACTGGAAACGTCTTTAATGTGAAATATTTTACATTAAAATAATAATGAGTATCTCCAGTCTCGTGTGGCTCTTGAGAGTAATCATGCTGTTTTTATACACCTCTGAAGCATTTTTCGTCAAAGTGGAGATGCACCAGTCGGGGCGGGTGGTGATGAAGAAGAAGACTCGCATCCTGAAGGCCTCCGGGAGCCAGTGTAAGTGGGCGGAGACATTTCACTTCCTGCTGATTATGTTAGACGATGCCTGCTCGCTGACAGTCAAACTCTACAGCCGCAGCTCAGTCAGGAGGAAACAGTGTCTCGGACAGGTGAGTAATTCTGACACCAGGTCTCTTCATTAAGACATAATACTCAGAATTTTCCTTTAGTTATGATGTCTTAGTGCTAATTTTATGTATTTATTTTATTGCAAATATTTATGATTCATTGATGTAATATATTACAGTGTTGGCCTCACTAATAATGTGCTGTTAGATAGATAGATAGATAGATAGATAGATAGATAGTAGGCAGACTTATAATGTCAGCATACTGACCCTGTAGTTGTAGTTATAAAATATCTTTCTGAGGTTTGCTAACATTAGCCACTGAGCTAATGTTAGCAAACCTGAATCATACCAGACCATGTGAGGGTAGAGCAAAACACCTGAGTGTATTGAAGTGGCCTTCATAATGTTTCTGGCAGGTTCAGCTGGGATTCGACAGCCCTGTCCCAGAAGCAGTGGAGCAGTGGAAGGACTCGATGGCTCACCCAGAGAAGGTGGTGTCTGCATGGCACAGGCTGAGCGCTGTCTAAACCTCCTCTCATAACGTCTACTGTACGTGCTACAGACATGATGTTTTCGTGCTGCAGGTCCAGCCGTGCCCGCTCGGCCGGCCACACTCTTGTACTGAGTCGACTCTGACGGACTGGACTGTAAACTACAGAACATTCGCTGAACGCCCTGAAAGACCAGATTTCCACTGTTCAGGTGCTCGGTTGTAAATAGGGGTTTCGAACAAAGTGTAATTGCTGGAAGAACTGTTTTCTGTGTTTTTTGAGTAGATGAAACTAAGGTTTTTTTCTTGACCAAAAAGTAGAGCATTTGCCAAACTGACAGAAAGTTAGCTGCAGTGCAATTAGCTGTATATAATGCTATATTTTGTATCATGCTTTTTAGTGAAAGCCTTGTCACTCTGTTTCCATTGGATAGAAAGTTTACAGGCAGAGAAAGTCACCATTAAGACAGACTCACTATGTTGAAAACTTCATGTTATCAGTCTGTAATTAAGACTGGAGATATTCTACATTTTTCTTAATGTCAACAAACCCATAAAAAGATCAAAACTAACTCTATTTTAGTCTTTTTCGAGGTACTTTCCGACTTTCCTGTCTTGGGCTTACAGGTTAATCCCTTTGGTTCCTTACTAAAGATGTAAATCTTTAAAAACAAGTCACGACTCAACACTTACTTACTTCCAACTCATTAAATACCAATGCTTGGTCAGTGGCCCGAGGCTTCAATCTACAGTAGGATTTCTATTTGTGCGTCAGCTCTATGTAGAACCTACACACATGGCCTAAGCCATTGTGAGCATTTATACTTGTGCAGTGGTGTGTCCGTATCACTTTGCAAGTACAAGTACACAAATCAGCTTCACTATAACTCGCAGCATTCACAGACAAAGCATTTGTCTTTTGCTGGACACATTTTCCCCACAAATACAACATGTTAGCATTTATTAGCATTAGCCTATGGCATTTTACATTGTATAAATAAGCTTAGCAGCTAATGTTTTTTTCCTCTTCTCATATAAAACCAGGGACAACAGCAACATTTAACAAAGGTAACGTTACAAAATTTGGCTCCATTACAGCTCACAAGGTTCACTGACAAAACATCTGTCTTATACTAAACATGTTTTCCAAACAAATACAACATGCTAACGGTATTAGCACAAGCCTATAGCATTTAAATTATAAATTAGCCTAGCGGCTAGAGGGCTTTTCCTCTACCACACCAAAATTACTTTAGATGAGTGCAGCAAAAGTACTTTGTTAGGTTTCAGAAAAGATTATGTTTGGATTAAAATGAGACTGACTTTTGGTTTCACACAGAACATTAACATCAAACTCCTGGGAAAAAGTCCTGTGTGTGTTTGACCTATCAATGCACCCTGACATCTTTCCTACAGGAACTTCCTCTCATTTATACTACATCATTACCGCCTATGGGCTTACTTTGGAGTTAATGTAAAACCCAGTGCATCTCATACAAACGCTAAAGGGTGCCCTGCACATCAATATTAGATGCTAAGGGCTGTGACAAAGCATAGATATTCGACAATTTGGGAGTGAGAACAAGTTTCATAAATACATATCAGTAGTTTTACATTTTTTAAAAGGTTCTGTAGTTTTCAGCAAACATTACTTAAACTTGCCACAAGTGATTTTTTTTTCTTTTTTTGTGGTTTGATTCATTGTTGGTTTTGGTCTTTTCATGGTATTTGCTGGCAATAAGAGAAAGCACTCTACTTATCCTCTACGTCCCTAAAAGGTTTTCCCTTACCCTAATTTAACTATGTAGGATGTCATGTTACTGTACAAAACGGCAGTATCAAACCTTAGCTGTACGCTTTTGATAAAAGCACTTTAATTTTTTGTAATGTATTTATTGTATTAATGTTAAACTTTAGTGATTAAAAATAGGTGTCATTTGAAAGTTTGGTTTGTGTTTTCATTGAAGCAAAGAAAGACGTGAAGACAGCACTAAAGGAAAATAAAATGTTTGAGCATTTGTCTTTAGGTGACATCTTGTTTCAGCAAAATCTGATAAAAGAAGAGGATCACTTTAAGTTTGTACAGTAATTATGGGATTTTATATGAAATGTAAATGATGGTAAGAAAACAGGCCAGAGCCCTCAGCGTGTACTTGAGTGCCGCGCCTGTAAAATAGGTCAACAACCATAAAGCAAAGCGTCACTGTGTCACTTTTTATTGAAGAGGCCCCTGGTTGAGAAATCTCAAGGCAAACAGCAAGAGAATCTGTCACGTTCCTTCTCCTGCTCCTGACTCTGGAACATCCTGTTTTTCAATTTGACCCTTCATTATAAAAGCAATTTAATGTCCCTTCAGTGTGTGGGCAATCTCAATCTAATCCTCAGTGTCTGAGGGGGAACTGTGCAGAAAAGAACACTTGTCATTTGTGGGAAGAATCAAAACAATTTCCTTTGAAAAGGTGAGTTTCCTCTCAATTAAATGTGTCCGTGTTCTGAAAATTGCAATGCCTTCACTTACAAAACAGTCTTTTACAAAAGAAAAACAACAAAAAAGATACTTATTAAAGTGAATGTGTGAAATTTCAGGGTGTGTAACCATCTTTACTATTCAAACAATCATTTGGAACATATAGTAACATTTCTGACAGGCAAATTTGGGATTTAAGTCCTCATGTTTATCACCTCAGAGGGAATCCTGTCTCCTCTTCAGTCTCATAAAGCACGAGATTTACTGGCAACATCCTCTGTGTAACCAGCTGTGGACGTGGACACGCAAACACACACCCAGTGAACAATAAGTCTGTGGACCAAGAAAACACAGTCCAGCGAGTGTTTGTGTTTAAAGTGTGTGTGACCAGGACAACTGGGTGCCCCACGTGAGCTGACCTGCGTCAGAGCCCTTCACATCCTGGCGTGCCAAAACACCATCATCTTTATTTTACGTAATTAATGTTTGATTTATGGTTAATGTTACACAGAGGGCATTCCAGACACACCTTAACCTGTGACTTGACTACACACTCAACTCAGAGGAGTGTGTTTGACTTTGACTTAAGAAAGGTGCTCGACTCTCACAAGCAGGATTTTGGGTTATTGTTCCTTTATGTGCTGAACAGATTCTTTTCCTGACAGTCAGTTGGCAGGATGCCGGGCTGAGTCTGTCACACATTCCAGTTGTCTCATAACCACATGCTTGTATGTGCAGGTTCCTTCACCTGGGAGACAGACTGGAGAGTTTACAAGAGCCCTGCAGGAGAGAGGAGATCCTTAAGATTCATGCCTCTCTTATCAAATGAGGGCTCAACCTCTGGTTTTCATCCAAAATAAAGATTTATGTGACATTACATGACTGTGACGATTCCTCCATTCCCCTAGGTGTGCTGTTACTCTGCTGTTCCTCTTTGTGTTGCAGGAGCCACATCAGGGCTTGTCATCAACTTCAGGAGCCACACCTGGGCCCTGTGTGTTTTTTGGCTGGACTGCAGCATGCAAGGCCAGCGCTTTGATGGAGAAAGTGTCTGTGAGTGAGTGATGAAGTAACACCATTGATCAGAATGAGCAATGACTTAAGTGTTGGTGTCTCTCCATTGGTTACTGCCCATTTGAATTCCCAAGGGATGAGTCCTAAAACCCGGAAATGAGTTAGCATTTTACTACACACTGTTCCCTCATCTCAGAGTCATTAGGTTTTTGGTTAGATGCCTGAAATAAGACCTGTGGTGAACACAAGCTTAAGAGACTTTCGCATTTTGTTCTGCAGCATAAAACACATTGGTAAACTTGTGAATTTTGAAGCTTCTATGTGTCTTAAAAACCTGGTTGCTAACAGGAGTGTCATCACACTGAGCCACACTGAACACGGCTTTACAGTCTTGTTATGGTGGTGATGTTAGATCATGCAACTGTAGTGTACTTTGTTTATAGCCTAATGTCAGCTTTTTATTTCTGGCTTTACAGAAATCATAAAAGTGGTGTTAATCTATGAAGAATATCTTGCTGAACAGAACGTGTAAGTATCATAAACATTTGTTTGCCACAGAGCTTCTTTTCGGCACTAATCAAAAATCCAATGGACAAATCCCATAGGTTAGCATCACCACTGTGATGCTAACTTCAGAGTCGTCCAGCATTCTATTGCTCATCCAGTGCATATGCCAAGAAAAGTTTCAAGCTGGGGTGATCTCTAGCTTGCCTGGTAGAGTGTGCGCCCCACATACGCTAAGTCCTTTGCAGAAGACCGGGTTGCATTCCAACCTGTGGCCCGGTGTCAACTTCCTGCTTAGCTTAGCTTAGTTTAGTTTAGTTTAGTTTGTTTAGTTTAGTATAGTAACGTTTATTTAGTTTAGTGTACATTAGTTTAGTTAATTTTAATTTAATTCAATTTAGTACCACCAGGGGGCCTCAAAGTCAGAGAATTTCAAATCCTGCACATGAAGGGAAAGTTCATCTGAACATCAAAAATACATATTTTTCCTACTTATAAGTCCAGATCGTTTTGGTGTGAGTTGCCAAATGTTGGTTTATATCAGCTCTAGAGATGTCTGCCTTCTCTCTCATATAAAAAGTGAGCAGCTTCCTGTAGGAACTATTTTCCTTCTAAGGAACTACACCGGTCAACTTTATCACTGCACAGACTGAAGCGTGCATCTACTCATGGACGACAGGAGATTTAAGTATTAATGCCATCCTCCTCGGTTGAGCTTTAATGTTAGCTAGCTCAGTTGTGCTAGGTGAGCTACCATTAAATGCAACTAGTACTTAATAAAGACAGAATAAATAATAAAGACAGAAACAGTTAGCGACTAGCTGGTGAACACAGTGGAGCATTTAGCAGCTAACGAGTCTGATACTTCTATCAGGAGTTGGTGGAGACCAAAACAGAGCATAAGGAGAGAGAATATTGGACTTAAATTAACCAGATGGTCAGAACCTCAAAATGTATGTTTATGATGCTAGGTATGGGCCAGATGTGTAAATTTGCAACTGTATGCTAGCGTGCTGAAGCTAGAGCTTAGATCCTCTGCCCGAGCCCGAGCCCGGCCCGCGGGCCCAAGCCGGGTCGGGCCGGGAGCCCCCCTCCCTCTGATGGTCCCAGGCCGGGCCGGTAAGATATGACTTTTTTTTTTTTTTTTAAAGCTGTGATTTGATAATGTTATAGGCTATGTACTGTAGCGACCCTGCAGTAAATGTTCTGTTATAATGTCAATGTTCTGTGAGTTAATGGCATGTTTGGGATTGAATGAGGTGCGGGGTGTGAGTGTGACGGGGATGAGGAGGGCTGTGTGAGTGCGCGTGCTGGTGTGTGTGTATGAGCGTGCTGGAGGAGAGAGCAGGAGGGCACAGATGGAGTTACAGCTAAGTTGTTGTTTGTTAGTTGTTTTGGCGTGGTTACGGCCAACAGTAACCTGTACTGTTCAGTAATAAACGGTGGTTTAATTGCTGAATAACTGCGTCATCCTTTCCACACGTCCAATGTTGCAACATTGTGCGCGCACAGCCCTTCACCACCTGGATCCTAAAATAAACACCTGTTTTATTACATAATCATGCTTCCGTGTTGCGCCATTCATTAAGATCCTATATTTTTGTCATTCAAATAACAAGAATTGTGGTTTAATACTCTTAATTATAACAGCCAACTTATTGAAAAATGTCAGGTTTAAATCGGGCTCGGGCCCATAATTACAGTTAATTGGACGGGCCGGGACCGTCCCGGACATAAAGTGCACGGGCTCGGGCCGGGTCGGGCTGGATTTTTTGGGCCCGATCTAAGCTCTAGCTGAGGCCTATCTGAAAATGTCAGATTTTGTGTTCACATCTTGTTTCTGCTGCCCTCAAGTGGCCAAACAAACCGTTACTGGTGGTTTAATTAGAGTAAATACTTTGTTAGACTTCAGGGTAAATGTTAAGTTATAAAGCACTCAAAGATGATGTTTCTCCCACAATGTAAGTTGAAAGAATTTATTAGAGAGTTAGATCCGTAGAGAGGTTTAGAGGAAGTTGCTGTCATGTTGACAGTATCTACTCATTTCTGTTCTTTCAGGAGACAGAGCAGTGAATAATGGGCCAGGGCCAGATTTTAGAAACAGTTTCCAAAAAACAGCCAGGCTCACCAACCACATTACTCTGTCCTCCTGTTGGGCACAGCTGCTACAAAGCAGGAGAGCTGTGTTCGACCACCAACTGCTGGTTTTTCATCAAAACGGGATAAAAAAAAGACAAACTGATCTCTCATCTGACAGGAGGATGTTTCCTGCTGCTTCATCTCCAGGATGTGAATTCTTCATTTATTTAAACTGATGGAGTGAAAACTTCTTTTGAGCTCCTGGTTTAGAGAGATTTTGCTGTTTCACTCACGCACACACTCACTCACGTAAACACATACACTCTTGTACTTCTGACTTTGTGAGGGCCCTTATTGACATAATGCATTCCCTAGCCCCTTACCCTTACCCTTACCCTAACCTTAAGCTAAACCTAATTCTAACTTGAACCATAAAACCAAGTCTTAACCCTCAAACAAGCCTTTGAAAAACTGAGGACCAGTCAAAATGTCCTCACTTTGCAAAATGTCCTCACTCTGTGGCCTAAGTACATGTTTTGGTCCACACTGTGTGGCAAGTACAAGTATTCACACATACACACACATACACACACACTGCAGCTATATTGCAATTATCTTCAGGTCAGTGATGTAGTGGTAGTTGATGAAATGGGCGTATCACTAGGTCAGGCATGTCCACAGTCTGGCCTGGGGGTCAACTGTGGCCGGCAGACAGATTTTAAACATTCTGTGGCTTGCTGTTCAAAGTATACCATATGTGTTGGTTAATGAAGCATGACCACTTTGCATTTTTTCCGTTCGCCTCACAATGGCAGGACTTTTGTACAGTTTGTAGACATGCACCAAATAGGAACTACACAGACAGAACTGGTGTATCTTCATTAACAGATTATGTAGCTGTAGTTTGATAATCTTTTCAAAAAGCTGAGGCTGAAGTTCAGGTTTTATTTCCGAAACAAGTCTGTCTTTCCTTTGGTGCCAGAAAAAGACTGGTTGCTGCTTTGTTTTTACTTGTTCTGAATTATGGTGATTTGTGTACATGAATATATCTGCACGTTGTTTGCACATGTTAGATACAGCATATCATGGTGCACTGACATTTGTTAAAAATTATAAAGCCCTGAATGCTCAACCTCTGTGTTGAGCCTCTGAAGGAGTCAGTGCACCCTCATGTGATAACTGGAAGAAACTGCAGCATTGGATTGGCCTCCCAGTGTTGAGCAAGAGGTGTGTGAGGGTGGGTGTGTGTGTGTGTGTGTGTGTGTGTGTGTGTGTGTGATCAGGGTGACGCACTCCCCTCTACATTAAAAACCTGAGCAGGCAGGAACAGACAAGGCTCAGTTGTTAAGATCACACTAAACAGAATGGATACAGAGAAGAAGAACGTGATTCTCAGAGAAGGATTCCTGGTGAAAAGGGTAAGACTATTTCCTGGAATACATGATAATGCATACTCTGTAGAATGTAGATTTCATTCAGCGACATGTAGTGTAGGATGTAGCAGATGTTAAATACATTCAGATTTTTATTTGTGGAACAGAGTTTGAGCTGATGCAAAGTTTAATCACCAAAATCCAAGCAGTTTATTGTCACACTACAGTAAGGTAAAGAGTGTGTTGTGAGTTGTTGAGTACATTTCCAATCATTTTTGTGATTACAGGGTCATCTTGTGCACAACTGGAAGGCACGCTGGTTTGTGATGATGCCAGACAAGTTGTTGTATTACAAGTACGAAGGAAGCAGGAAGGACTCATGTCAGAGAGGGAAAATCCTTCTGAAGGACTGTGAGATAACCTGTCCTTATCTGGAGCATGAAAATCGACCGGTGAGTTCTTTGAGACTCCAGAGTTAGTTGTTGTGTGCTGTTTTAGAAGAACACAAGTTTCAAGGAACTCAAAAGTTTTAGAGGAGTAAAAGAAAGTTTTATAAGAAGATTATTTTTGGAAAGTCACCTTATTTAAGCCTTGAAGAAATGTCATATGGATTCAAATAATTATATGATTTAACATTTGACATTTTTGTTTCTAACATGTCATTACAGCCCTCTATCGTTTTCTGCCTCTTGTCTTAAATGATTAAATAACTCAGCAGTTAAAATGCAAAGACGGCCAAATGAAATAATGAACAGTCATCTTAAAGGGAAGACAACGGAAATATACACAACACACAAAGACACACATTTGAATTTACACTGTAAAGCTCAGTGATGGAAGAAGTACTCAGATTTTTTACTGTAAAAGTAGAAATACCATAGTCTGAAAATACTTCACTATAAAAATAGAAGTTCTGACTTTAAAAGGTTACTTAAAGAGATAGTTTGGGTTTTGTAGTGGGGTGGTATGAGGTACATATCCATAGCCAGTGTATTACCTACAGTAGATGTCTGTCAGTACACCCCCAGTTTGGAGAAGCGGCAGGATTCCAACATGGAAGCTTAGTGATGTACTGCTGTGGATGGGGCAGCAACGAAATGCATTTTATCCACCTAAAAAAAATTAATATCAGTTCAAGTATCATTACATTGAGAGTATTTTTACAGCTTTACCTTTCCGTCAGACAGCCCATTCCGACGGGGAAGACCTTAACAGTTTTAGTTCCCCATCAAAGCCACTTTCATCGGAGCCGCCAGACTCCATTGACAAAAACAGTGATTTTAGCTCACTGAACACAGGAGCTGCTGGTCTACTGCTGCTTCGATCAGTTAGTTTGTGTAATTGTGTGACTTTGGTGAATCTAAACTAACCCTTTTAAACACCAAAGTCACACAATTACACAAACTAACCAACTGATTGAGGCAGCAGTAGATCAGCAGCTCCTGTGTTCAGCAGTGTTAAATCACTGTTTTTCTCAGTGGAGTCTGGCTGTGAAGAGAGCGATATAACAGCTTCATTTTCCAGTTGGAAATCACAGTGTGACTTTAAGGTGAAGCAATAAGGATATTCTAAATATAGCATACATTTCAACTAATACTGATTTTTTTTTTATGTTGGACTTTTTTTAGGTGGCTAAAATAAATTTTGTTGCTGACCCCCCATCCACAGCAGTAGATTGCTTAGCTTCCATGTTGGACTCCAGTCTGCTTCTTCAAACTGGGGGCATGCCAACTTACATTTACTGTATTATTATTATTATTATTATGTTTTTATCACTAATGAATGCATTTTAATGAAGATTGTGAATGTGGAGCCTATTTTAGATACTTTGGATACTAATTGGTTGGTTAGTATTAAAGTGCTGCATCTTATCATGTAACATAATCATGTATTTTATGTAACTAGTAAGTTATCAGGTAAATGTTGTGAGGTAAAAAGTACAATATTTCTGCCTGACATGTAGTGAAGAAGTATAAAGTTGAAGAAAATGTATATCAGTGTTAAGCTGTAGCACAGTACATGAGTAAATATACTGGTAAGACACATGTCCTTTTTCCATGTTCCAGCTGCTGTTCTTGCACTGCATTTTTCCTTCAGTGTTTTCCTTTGTTTTTATTTTTATTGGTAGAAACCACACTGAAGGTGTGGCGTCACCGTCTGAGACTCTTTAATCTTTCCACATGTATTGCCTCAGGTTACTGTTCTGTCAGGACCTGATTTCCATCATCTACCAACTCTGAAGAACAATTTGCTATCTGTTTTTTTGGGCCAAAAGACTCAACATCAACCTCCTGTCTGTATATTATTTCCCAGTTGGTGTTCAAGCTGCGGACAAAGAATGGGGTGGATCATTTTTTGGAGGCTTGTTCCCGGGAGGAGAGAGACGACTGGGCAGATGACATCACTGCTGCGATCGAAAAGCTGGGTGAAGATGGGAAGGTGACAAACCAGGAAGACCCTGCTGGATCCCAGTTAACCAACGTTGATCTGAGGTAAGTCTTACAAATAAAATTTCACCAACAGGGATGTCATCAGCATGTCTGACCCTGCAAACATGTCGTCACTGCTTCTTTATGACTATATCTCTTTCTCTTTCTTTGATTCTTTCTCTTATGAAGCAAGGTGTTGGACTCCATGTATGACGTCCACAGTGGTATCAAGATGAGCACCCATGTGGAGCAGGGCAGCACTTACAGCAACTGTTTCTCAGGTGAACATTTACAACATCTTTATTCAATGCACGTTTTCATATATATACTATATGTGTGTATACAGCACGTATCTGCTTTCAGTGTCACATACAGACATACATAAATGTGATGTCCCTGCAGGTTCAGCGGTGGTGGACTGGATGGTGTTCATGCAGATGACTCTGACCCGTGTGGAGGCCATGACGTTGGCCTCAGCCCTACTGGAGGAGGGTTTCCTGCGGACGGTCGGTCTGAAAAGTGTGGAGGCTCTCCGCACCGCCGGCCTCGGTGAGCAGTTCATGGACGACTCCACTGCACTCTACGGCTTTGTGAGTATCAGGAAGTCTGAAAACTGTTCCAATCTCCAGCTTGTTGCTGCATGGTGCCACACTCAGAGTATTTTCAGTGTTAGTCCATTTCTTTAGCAGGTTGGAGTTGTGTTTAACCCAGGGTATTTTTATGTTGAATCACAGTCTGACAACTTAAAGAAGAGAGGCAGTGTGAAGGCAGAGACGTCGCTGTCTGCAGTGGAGCTCAGTGGGAAAGTGATCAAGCGAGGATATCTGCTTAAACAGGTAAACACGCTGCTGTCAGCCCTGTGTTGAGACGTGAAAATAATAATACCATAAAATTTCAATTAATAGCCCAGGCTATTGTTTGCTTACATCACTGAACTCAACAGTCCTATATTTGGGACAGGCCTTTAATTCCTTTCACACAGAACTTCTGCTCAGCAAAGATGGAAAATACGATCAAATTGTTTATTTAAACAAGTATGAATATTACTTATCAACCGGCAGCGCATCAGAGACAGAGAGAGAGTTACGGTACCCAGCATACCAACACAGCACCACTTTATCCTGTTAAAACAATACTCACAACTTGGATTAATTTCTATTAAAAACCCTTTCGATTCTTTTGATCTGAGGACCCTTAGCAACACATTCTAACTTTAACCTTGTCACATATTGAGGTTTGGTCATGGACCTTTTGAGTCTAGTCCAGATACAACGTGCAAGGTACCCTGGGTGTGTTGGTTGTTGACGTTCTGGGACACTGTTTCAACTTCAGCCTGTTACATGCACTGTCTTCTTTCAAAATACACTTCTCTTTTCACAGGAAATTTAACATTTACATACAGTCTCTTTCAAAATAAACGCACTACGTCAGTACAATGCAAATTGACATTTTTTTGCCTTAAACAACAAATGCGTGGTAAGGTTTAGGAAAAAAGAACAGGGTTTGGCTTTATAATCTTACAGGATGCGAACACTGCTATCCTGGGTGAAAGTTAGTGTTTGTTGGACCCATCCAACCAGCCCCCAACTTTTGTTCTCTCCCTGCCGTGTTTCACCTGACGCTGCCGAGCGCTGTTTAACTACAATGGCAATTAGCCGGGTAACATGCCGATGTTAAAGGATGCCTTTTTTAGTCAGTGTCTGACGCTGCAAGTCACTGCCCAAGCGCCGGATTTCGACGACTTTGGAGTTAGACCGGGTTGTCCATAGGGACTAAAGGAACATGAATAACTTACAGGGTAATCGAGGAATAGACACATAATTTTTTTTTTTTTTTAAGATTATGTTTTGTGGGCTTTTGCCTTGGATAGGACAGTGTGTGAAATGGGGACAGAGAGAGAGAGAGAGAGAGCGGGGACTGACACGCAGCAAAGGGTCGCAGGCCGGACTCGAACCCGCGAGCGCTGCAGCGAGGCAATGCCTCTGTACATGGGGCACCAGCACTATCCACTACACTACAGCCGCCCCGAATAGACACATAATTTGAGGTAGCCAACAACCCGCTTTTATACAACTGAAGAACCTCTATTAAAAAAAATACCCAAAAAACTGCTTGGCAACCAGACCAGGCCTCTCATTGAGACAGGCCTTTATTTGTCAAACTGTGGAGCCACACCAGGCTAATAAAAGGGACTAGTTATTTACTTAGGGCTAGGCTTGTAATTGATAAGAGACTTGATGACTTATTACAAAGTGAGAATTAAGCTTTTATTTATTATGAAATAGAAAGGATAAACACCAGCTAGAGGGGGTTTTCACAACCTGGCAACCTTATTTCTTCTATAGCTGTGTACTATTTACCATTATATCTTATGACTATAACAAATGCATTCAAATATGATGTGATTAAATGAAGACATTTTATTTAAACACAGGGACACAGAAGGAAGAACTGGAAGGTGCGACTGTTTGTGCTGCGTTCAGAGCCTGCTTACCTTCACTATTATGACCCCACCAAGGTGAGTGTACAGCCCATACTATGGAGGCCCTATAATTAAAATGACTAAAGGAAGTGATTCACTTACCAGGTAAACCTTAAAGAAATCTGGTTAGTGTATTCCACTTATGGACACAGCAAATGCAAAATACTGTGTATGATGACGACACTGAACAGAGGAAATCCCAAACCAAACAAAGCTTTTGTTTGCTTTGTTGCTGCCTCAGGGCGGCTCTGAAGCTGTCATCTATTGTAACACTCATAATTCTTAGTAATTCACTTCTACATAATCTGAGTCAGTCTTATCCACTTCCTGTCTTATGTCACTTGTCAGGATGACATCAGCCCCGCTGGCGGCTTCTCCCTGCGAGGCTGTCTGGTGTCTTCTCTGGGCGATAACGGAGTTCCCTCAGGTGAGTCACTGTCTCCAACCACAGTGACCAAGATGCTACACTTCTAAACAAAGTTATTAAAGCAAATGATTACAAGATAGGACAGGTAATGATTTTGTTTTTACTTCTTTCACACAGGTGTGAAAGGCAACGTTCAAGGCAACCTGTTTAAAATCATCACCCAGTCAGACACACATTACTTCATCCAGGCTCCGACCCACCAGGACAAGATGGCGTGGATAGATGCGATCAGAGAGCAGACATAGAGCAGCGAGTTCAAACATCACTTCCTAAAATGTCCACGGGTTCATTGATCAAGAAGAAAGATTTACACATTCCATGAATGTTTACTGTAGCAACAAACTGGGATCATGCAGTTTAAGTGAAAGTGTTAGTGGTTACAAAACATTTCTGTTCATTTGTCTCTAACGTGCCAGTGCTCTCTGCTTCATTATTCTGTGTTTTAAAGTTTGTACAAGGAAGATTTGAAGGGTTTTAAAAGCCCAACAGTTGTAGCAGTTTATCTTGTAATTATTCAGTTTAAGTTGTGTAATGTGTTTTACATTTTTTCATTAATAAACATTTTTGTATTCAACACATATACTCCACTACTTTCTATGGCTTCAGATTCTACTTTTTCTTTTCACATTTTCTACAATTACCACTATAATATTGTTGCCATGAACTCTCTTGGCAGCAATAATCATGTGGTGAAAATCTGATATCATGCCAGCCCTCATGTTCAACTAGCCCAGGGGTAGGCAACCTGTGGCTCCATAGCCATATGTGGCTCTTTAGCCCCTCTCCAGTGGCTCTCAGTGGCTTTGACGACATTCTCCACTTGTAAAGATGTGTAGCCTATACACTGAATTAAAAGCCAAAACAAAAATGTGCATGCATCTACAGCCTGGCACCTTTTCAACAAAATGTTGCCAAACCTCAACAGTCGTGGCTCATCTTGAGCCTCCCTAGCTAGGCTAGCAATGGATTCCAAATCCATAAAAATAAATGTCTCAGAGGAAAATACAGAATTTAATAGTGCATGGACAGATTTATTTGCTTTCACTGCCAACACTGCAATAGTGTTACTATAAGGCTCAAATATATTTTGCAGCTCCAGACAGATTTTTTAAAATTATATTTGGTCATAAATGGCTCTTTTGATAGTTAACATTGCTGACCCTTGAACTAGCCTATATACTTCAACAGTTCCTAAAGTTCTATTGATGCTTTTGGTTTTGGTGTGACACCCCAAGATGTTAGTGGCCCCATGTGGCCACCCCTATTAAAGATTTCTGGGGGCGCCACTGTGTAAAACAAGTATTAAAATGTATTGTATTAAAACTTTTACTTGTTGAACGCTGCAGAAACCCTGAGTGGAATCTTTTTTATGGCTTTATATGGCACTATTCATAAGAATCCCCAAGAGGAAGTACAAGTAGAGACAAGAAAAGCCTCAGGAGGTATTTCTTACAATCATCAAGTTTAGGTTGAGGCTGGCTGCTCCCAGTAATCACAGACAGACACTCCTACTCAGCAAGCTGAGTCGAGCCTTATCTGAATGACTCAGGCTGAGCTGGTGTTGGTTTACAGTGAAATCATTAGTGACACAATACCTCATGATATATGATACTGCACAGCGGGGCTTGGAGTAAATCCAGGAAGCTGTTTCTCGACCACAGAGCGGAAAACAACAAACACAATAACAACAAAAGTGATTTATTGCAGTGAAGTAAAGCCAATATGAAACATTCACATAAAAAGTGCTCGGGGGAGGAGAAAAGTACACAAGCTGATAAAAGTACAATAACAGAAAGTGTGACATAACCTATAATCCCTCCAGCTGTGTAATCTGAAGGCAAACTGAGAGAAATCAAACACACTGTGTGAATAACTGGCATGCACTACTGTACGCTAAACTGTTTTACATTATTACACCTGTTACAGTACTTAGTCGGGCACAGAATGACAATCAGCTGATTTCAGAAACATTCATCTTCATGCAGGCGCTCGTAAACGTAAGTGCTTTCAAAGGTTAACTCCAGAGAAATCAAAGACAAACTTCTGAGATTTTTAAACGCACAAAGACGGATGCAGCACGCCTTTTACAGCAGTGACACATCACGTTTGTGCAAAGGGAAAATGTTATAGCTTCGACCACTTTTGCTTTCGGTTCAAATCACATTCCTCGGTTGATTAAAGACATTTAGCACGACTGTCACATTCAGTCATTATCTTCAAGTCCCCAAACAGGTAATCTAGTGAAGGCACTTTGTCTTGACACGTGATTACGAGGCAGGTTTTTAATTTTGTTTCCCCACATCCCCATCATGGGTTAATTTATTCACTCAAAAAGTAGCTCTATTCTAACCGTATGTGTTGTACACTGTCCCCGGAACATCCTCAGTTTGTTAATCTGTAGGCGAGAAGCTGCTGCTAGGCCACCTTGGTGAGCTGTAGGTCTCCAAAGACTCGTAAGGCAGTGAGGGAGGCGAGCCGGGAGATGCGGTGGGTGAATCCACACAGAGGCTGTCCGTCCACCAAGATACGAAACTGCTGGTGCTCACAAACGATCTCCATCTGACAGTCAGAGGGGATGAAGAGGAGGAGAAGGTCAGTCACTTATATTTTGTAAATTGTAAACAATTAAAACAGACCATTCAGTCAGCAGAGTATGAAGAGTGATGGATGTGAAATGTTCAGAGTTGGGAGAAGTGCTCAAAGCTTTTACTTAAGTAGAAGTAGTAATACTGTAGTGTAAAATACTCTCTACAAGTAAAAGTCATGCATTAAAAATCTTACTGAAGTGAAAGCACATAAGTGTTGGCATCAAAATATACTTAAAGTACCAAAAGTGCAGAATGGCACATTTCAGTAATATTCATTCATTTTCTGTAACCGCCTGTCCTGTTGGGGGTCATGGGGAGCTGGAGCCTACCCCAGGTGTACCCTGCCTTGCATTGGGTGCATTGGGTGCGAGGTGGGGTACCATTCACACTCACATTCACACCTACGGACAGTTTAGAGTCACCAATTAACCTGCAAGTCTTTGGACTGTGGGAGGAAGCTGGAGTACCTGGAGAAAACCCACACTGACACTGGAAGAACGTGCAAACTTAGAAGGGCTACCCCATCTTGGGTTTGAACCAGGAACACTCTTGCTGTGAGGCAACTGGATTATAATTACTAATACACTGTATCTTACTATATAATGATGAAAACTCTGTCTGTGGGTGTGTCTGTGTGTCTGTGTCTCTGTTCCACGTTTTTCTCCTCACTGACTTGGTCAATCCATGTGAAATTTGGCACAGTGGTAGAGGGTCATGGGAGGATGCCAATGAAGCAATATTACATCAATTGGCCAAAGGGTGGCGCTTTAGCAACCAATTGAAATTGCAAACTTTGAATGGGCATATCTCATGCCCATATGTCGTAGAGACATGAAACTTTGCATAGAGATGCCTCTCCTCATGAGGAACAAATTTGCCTCAAGAACCCATAACTTCCGGTTATATAGATTTTCAGCCATTTTGAATTTTTTGAAAAACACTTCAAATCGATCTCTTCCTAGGATGTTTGACCGATCTGCATGAAACTGGGCGAACATAATCTAGGGACCAATATCTAAAGTTCCCTTTTGGCAAAAATTGGAAAACTTACTAAAACTGAGCTTCTATAAGGCAATGAATATTGCGGAGGGCGTGGCTCATCACATAAAGGTGTATAACATCTCAAGGGTTTCACCCATCACCACGCAACTTTGTAGGCATATGACCACACATAATCTGAGGGGACCCCTCCATTATTGACCCCATCAAACAAAATGGGGGCGCTAGAGAGCTAATTTCTTATCTAGGCCGAACCGCCATATCGATTTTTACTAAACTTGGTAGATATGTAGAACAGGACGCCTCAAGGTGACTGGAGAAATTTAACTCTAATTGGCAACTGGGTGGCGCTATAACAACAGAAAAATGCTTAAAAATGGTTAAAATGCGACAATCGCTGTGGCTCCCCCTGTGGACCAATGTTTTGTTTTTTTTTTCTAATTTTTGGTATGACTAAGTCATGGTATGGTATGCTGTACATAATCACGGAAACTGTCAGTGTGTAATTCTGTCAGTCAGTCATTCTGTCTGTCCCACATTTTTCTACTCACTGACGTGGTCAATCTATGTGAAACTGCACATAGGCATTGTGGATTGGCATAGGTAGAAGGTGACAAAGCTACCGATGGGTATGGACTAGTGTACATTACTTTGATGTTGCAGTTGGTAAATGTAGAGCTAATTTTAATTACTTTAAAGCCTGTTCTGCTGAGTAGTTTAACCTATAATAATACATCATTATTAGTTAATTTATATTTTGTATTAATAACATAAATCTGCAAAGTAACTCAATCTTTAAAATAAACATTGTGGAGTAAAAAGGACAATATTTGCATCTAAAATGAAATAAAGTAAAAGTTAAAAGCGCTGTAAAGTGGAAGTATAAGTACCTAAACTTATTAACTAGTGACTAGTACAAGTAAATGTACCTAATTACATGCCGTCAATATTTATACACTAAAACTTGCTTGCAACTTAAAGGTCCAGCGTTCAGGATTTAGAGGCATCTACTGGCATCAATGATATATTTATTCATCACTATGTTTTCATTAGTTTATAATCACCTGGATATAAGAATTGTATTTTCGCTATCTTAGAATGAACCGTTAATATCTACATATGGAGCAGGTCCTCTTCCACAGAGTCCTCCATGTTGTCTCTACAGTAGTCCAAAACGGACAAATCAAACACCTGCCCTACGAGGCCATTTGTGTTTTTGCATTTTCATGTCAGCCACCACCCACCGAGCACCAGACATCAATGGACGCTATTCTTTGGGGTAAATCTGTATGGCCCATCCTGCACTTTATTTAGCCCAGAAGAGTCCTTGAAAATTAGGCTGTGTTTAGTCTGTCTGATTGGCCCAAATTTATCCCAATAAGATCACATTTGCAAAAACTCAGCAAACATTGAGATGATGAATGACTGTTATGGTTTAAAAATAGCCTTTTGAACAACCTGAAAAAGATATCTTTTCACCTTACGCTTGTCAACCAAATCTAAATGTTGTTGAGATGTTGTCGTTTCAAAGTCTTCAACAAGGTTTTGCTGGGTGGGGTAGTTCTCCTTGGCACAAGAAAGAAGTTTAAGTTCTGCAACCTTATTGCTAGATGCCATGAAATCCTAATTCTGGACCTTTAAAGGCCCTGAAAATATTTCTTACTGTGAGCGACGTGGTCTGACATGAACACTTGGAACAGTCTTAGTTATTTGACTTGAGATATTTCTGTATTTATGTTTTCTTCCCTGAACTTTAACTTTGCTCGTTGCTTGTTTAGTCATGAAAATCTGATGTTATACAGTGAGATTTGAAACCATGTTTGTAGGAGCTTTAGGGAAAAAATTCTTGGGCTGAAGCTAATGCTTCCTTCAGGGTCAGAAGATGAACTCAGTCATAATGGAT